TATAAATTTATTTATTTGTTCTTTAAAAGGGAAGTATGGTGAGGAAAATAAGAGAGCTCATGGCTGACGTCAGAAATCACAAGATGAGTTCATCATTTGTTCAAATGACACTCAGCTGACAGAAGGAGTCATACTTTTAGAGGTCTGCTGAGGAGAGAGTAAGTCAGGATGTTTCCAGTACATGATTGCAGGGGAATCAGACACAGGCTAGTCACACAACTTGCTTAATTGTCCGTGTACCCTTAGGCCACGACTTCAGGGCTCTGCAGGTTCATCCTTCACGGCACCAAACCTTGACATGAGGGGATGCAAAGACACACTCATAAACATCATGGGTTTGCTCTTACTCAAGGTTTGGGGGACTGGCTGAAAAAAATGAAACAAAACAAGGAGAACTTATCCCTAAACAAAAAGGATTCTGTATTAGCTGTCAATTATACCAACATATAGAATAGAATATGTGAAAGAATATATAGCACTGCAGCCCATTGAGGTCAGATACCTAAAGCAAAATTAAACTGAATTATAAGGAGAACAAAAGGGCTTTTATCTTTGTAAAGAAGAGAATATGAGTGCAGTGATTATTTCTTTATGCAGAGGGATTTATAAATCTTTTTGCCTGGTTGATTTAGTAAAAAATTACTGAAAATATAGGATTGTGATGAGACTCTGAAAGTGTATCATGTAAAGTCAAGGAAACCACATTAGAATGGGCGTGAATGAGACACTCTGGGACAATCTGGATGCTACACTGGGGCTGTCCGTGCAGGGCAGGGACGTCAGCTTCATCAGGGGCTCACCAGACTAAATGGAGCATTGTACTTGGTTTCCATGTTGTGTTTCTGTCATGGGGATGTGCAGGAGTAAAAGCCAAATCCTTTTGAATGATTTAGTTTTGCCATTTTTAAAAGACATCATCAGTCTTGGTGAACAAGAGTGGTTAAAAGAAAAGACTTCTATTTTTCAACCTTTTTTTTTTTAATGGAAGATTGAATGATGAGGTAAACAGTTTGTTCTTCCTTGGATGGAGACCCTTCTTCTCACCCTGATCCCCTTTTGACCATTGCAGAATAGTTTAGTCCAAGGAAAGGGGAGAAGACAAATGACTGAAATAATGTCAGAGTTAGCTATTGCCAGGAAAAACACACTCTGATTCAGTTAATTTGTTCCATTAATGTCAAAAGCTGTGATTCCCAATTAACTAATTTTAAGAAGTTGTAACTGAAAATAGCTATGTCAGCTCTAAAGTTAATGTCTGATGAAGATTAGGATCTTCAATTAAGAGAATAGGGACTCTGAAGAGGTGGTGATGTCTGTTTAAGATCATCTTGCTAAACAAACAGTGGCTGGCTTGGATTTTCAGACGGGGTTTAGCCCCTTCAGAGAAGTTGAGGTGAGAGGGGAGGGAAAAAATCCAGATATTCTGGCAATAACAAATGTGCCACAAAGCACAGATTTGTGTATACTCGACTAACGAACGACAGAAGCATCCATACTAGTTAGTCTTCGGGAGAGAGATGCTCCCCCAGTTCAGGTGGAATTAATTAAAGCAAGCATGTCCTTTGCACTCTTTCCAGCTCCTCCACTGAAAGCTCCATGCACATAAACCAGAACAGCTTGAACAGCTGAGAAAAACTGGGCCAAAAATGACTCCAGGACCTCTCTCCTTCCTCTCCCTTTACATTGGAATGGAAAGACACAGTAACAATTTTTTTTAAAAGCAGAATGCTCATGGTTTCTGTACAATTGCAAGTGCTTTGGTTACCCCTAAATAAGGGTAAAATAAAAGTATATGTGCTCTTAAAAGTCAAGATCAGAAGTTGCTAATGAAGTTGCGAATTATCCAGAAGAAAAACATACACAGGCACATGCTAAATGGCAGAATCTCTTGCCTGTAAAAGTTCAGTCTTGCGTTTGTAATATTAAAGCCCAACAGGGAGCTGGCGGGACACTTTTTGTGCTGTCTTGTCACGTCATAAGTTTCTGGTTTCAGATAAAAGAGGAGAAAGGGCCCTTAAGAAAGCAAAGAACTTGGGGGAAAAAAAATCAAACTTCCTTCTTGGAAAGCTAAGGATTGTTTTCCTGGAAATGCTGGATAATGGCATCTCAACGTTTTTAGTTTTTAATAGAGAAAATGGAGGCAAATCACAGAGGGGAAAAAAGAATATATGAATAAATAGAACAAGATAATGTTTCAACAAGAGCTTCTCTCAATTTTTTTCTTTCTCTCTTTCTCTCATTCTCTTTTTCTGTTTCTTTTTTTGAAATCTTAAACCCCATTTCTGGCTTGCATTTGTTAGGATTCCTGCTCTGGATTTTATTAAAAACAGACTTTATGTGGTCAGAATTCTCCATCTAAAGTTAAACTTTAATAGGCATAGGGATCCTGACAAAGTCTTTCTTGCTCTCTCTCAGGTGACACTCCTTCCCCCATCCCCCTCTTAGAGGGATTTCCCTCCCAGTGCACTGAACTGGCACTGAAACTTGAAGGCTCAGCACAAAAAAACCAACTTTCTTCCTTTACTCTGTACTCTCATTTCTGTTTTAAATTTGGGACTCTTTGCAAGGCCAGATCAAGTTAAATCTGGTTCAAACTTGAAAGTGTTCTAGAAATTTCGAATAACGCAACTGCCGTCCCTGTTGTCCTGTAAATCCCCCAAGGCAGTCTCATGGCAGCTCCCCTTCCCCTTCCCCTTCTGCTGCCCATGAGCCGGCCACGCAGCTCAGCTCGGGCTACTTATTCCCACCAGCTGCCTTCTGCGTGCGAGCTCGAAAACACCAAGGGCAACTCCACCCCACTTAACGCATCAGTTTGGCATTCAAAAGTGGATTTTTCTGAAGGGTATTGGCAAGCTAGCTTGTCTGAAGGCGAGAGGTAAAGCAGGCAAGCGAGCAGGCAAGACGTGCACGTTCATTCCCGAAGATGGGCCCCACTGGGTTGCTCTGGTTCTTTCTCATAGCTAAGCAGACAAAATAGCCGACTTCGAGGCTGCTGTATGGGACTCCCGCCTTCCCCAATGGCCTCCATAACTTCCTGGCATAATGGCAGACACTTTCCCAGTCAATTTGAGGTTTTCTAAAACAATAAATTTGATCTTGCTTGTAGCGAGGCTCAATGCTGAAATTCGTGTGTTTTGTTTTGTTTTGTTTTCGTGAAAGAGAAATTCTTTTGAGTACTGCAATGCAGTGGTTCTCAAGTGGGGAGGGATTTTGCTCCCCCAAGAGACATTGGCTATGTCTAGAGATATTTTTAGTGGTCACAACTGGGGAAGGGCAACTGGCATCTAGTGGGTAGAGGCCAGGGATACTGCTAAACATCATACAATGCACAGGACAGCCCCCCACAAAAAAAATATCAGTAGTGATGTGATTGAGAAACCTTGTCATAGTTATGATACTGGGCTCTGGAGTCAGACCACTTGGAAGTAAAGCCCAGCTCCACTAGCCTGGGTGAGCAGCCTTGGGCAAGTTGCTTAACCTCAGTGCTTTATCTGTAAAATGTGGATACTAATCTATTTCATTGGGTTGTTGTGAGCATTAAACAAAAAACGTACATGCAAGCTCTTAGAACAATGCCTAGCATATAGTGAGAGCACAATAAATGTTAGCTATTGCTATTATTATTACTAGAAATTTAGCTCAATTCCAAATAAATTATAAGCCAAGTCTATTACATTTAGAGGACAAAAAGTATTGAGAGTACATATATCCTCTTTGATTAGGACCAAAATGATGATAACAGTAGTAACAACCACAGTCTTTAGTTTATCAAACTCTTTCAAATGCCTCATCTCATACGGTCTGGGAAACAACCTTGTTGAATTTTCCTATTTCATAGATGAGGAACTCCTGTCTCAGAGTTAAATGAGTCGCCCAAGATTTGTGGCAACCCAGGTCTTCTGATTCCAAATCCCTTGCTATTTTCCTGCTACACCACCCTTTGTTTACTAGTTTAAGATCCCCCTTCCTGTCTTCATTACACCCAACAACCTGAAGATCAAAATAGAATGTAAGCATCATGACCAGAGGATGAGGTGACTCAGTCTTCACACGTGGGTGGAAGTCACTTCTGTTTTTTATGGTCTGTTATGTAGGCAGGTTTTCCTTCATGGAGCAGGCAAATATTTTAATTCTTTGAGTTAAATTTTTTAAAATTTAACTTTATATATGGGCTAATTTTCTTTCCTTTTTGAGTTTCTGATTTTGAGAAAAAAAGCCCCTTTAATAGTTTATATCTTTAAAATATCTGATTATATACGCATTGTATATAGTTTGACTATAATGTATGAAGGTGAGAATATAGCTCCAAATGTATATGTTTCAAGTTTTATTATTTATCAGCTGTATTGTTTCACAATTAGGCCTGAAAATCTGCTTATAATTGTTTAAATGTATTATTCAAATGTACAACATTCTGTCTCATATACGGTTAGTGATTGTGCACAGCAATCATTATATCTATGTTAAAAGTTTCTATGCACGGTTTCTTAAAAATAATTGCAGATATTCAGCCAGATTTTACTCAGCCTATGTTAAAGTTAGTAATATTGGGTGTAAGGATCATAGTTCAGAGAGCAGATAGATAAAATGACTTGCCAGTGGTATTCTAGAATTCCTTTGGTAATGGAGAAAGCAAGACCTTACCCCATGAAACTCATGACCTATCAAGCACATAGCTGCCACAACCCAGCTATGGCTCTTTTGTTTCAAAGCCCTCAGTCAAATTCTACCAACAGCTGCCAAAATGCCATTCACTGGGACCCACTTTCTTTTGGTCCCATTTAGTTTGTGCCAGTTGATAAATGAGAGGCTTTAATGACCACATATTGGTGTTTAAATGCTATAACAGGCTCAGCAATTTTCCCATGGCCCCCCTCGAGTGTGAAAATTGCAAATATGTATAAGATCTTTGCAATTTTCTTTTCCAAATAAATTTTGTCTGTCATACTATGAGAAGAGAACCAAAGAGCATCCCCAGCAATTTCTGCTATGAGCCTTACCTTGGAACACTGGGTGGGGCCCTTGTGGGCCGAGAGGGAACTTGTGGAGGGGCTCCAAAAGAGTCGCTGCTGTTGGGAAAGGGAGGTAATGGGCCTGGACGGAATGGAACTGGGGGAGCCCCAGAGTGGGGCCCCGGAGAGGGAATGGCAGGAGCTGGTCCTCGGCTGGATGTGGGCCTTGTGAGGGGAGCACTCAGTGTCGGCCTCCTTTGGGTTGTGGGGCTTGGAGGAGGTGACCTGAGGAAAAAGACAAGTCATAGTCTGCCCACTCCTATTTTTTGTCTGAATTAATCTTTTAAAAAGTTTTATAACTTCCTGACTGCTTTTTAAAAAAACGTTTTTTTGATTGAGTAACTCAGACACATGTTACTAAAGTCAACAGGTATAAAAAGGAAGAGGAAGTCTTCCTCTCTCCCCCAGCCCCTTACTCTGTGGAGACACCCAATAGCAGTTCCTTGTGTTTCCTTTTTAACTATATTCTACATATGCACAAGTGTATATGTATATGAGTGTTTCTCTCTCTCTATAAAAATCACTTTTTCGTACAACCTAGAACACAATGTTCTACAGCTTCATTTTTTTAAAGCTTCATATTAACTTGATTACCTTTTCATTTCAGGACTCATAGACCTGTCTTATTCTTTTAAATGACTGCATAATATCGTAGGATGCATCATGCATGCTTCTGAAGGGTGTTGGTACAATCTGACCTGCTTACTCCTGAACTTTAATAGATTTTTCCTGCTCTTTCTTTAGGTTTAGGAAAGCACTCTCAGACAACGCCATTGGACAAGCGAGCATAGCAGGCCTCAGGTGTCATGGGTCCATCTCCCTACCTGCGAGAATGCTGTATCCAGGAGTCATCCACTGGAGGTGGAGCAGGGGTGCTCACGGTGGCTGTGTTGATATCGCCAATGATCACAAGGGCTTCTTTAAGAGCTTGGTACATGCGAAGCATCTCATCCCGGCGCTGAGCCTGCTCAGCAGATTCCTCCATCAGAGTATTTTGGTCCTCTGAAGAATATAACTGTGCTAGGAGCTCTGAATTTATGAAATCTTTAACCTGTCAGATACCACAGGAAAATAAAAATGAGAATGAATGAGTGATTGAATGGCATAAACATGGCTGTGGCGGTCAGAGTCTGTGGACAAAGTCCACTGATGTCCACCCTGAGAAAAGGGAAGCATCATGCATCTGTTTACTCTTATTTTTGTCACTGTCCTCCCTATCTCCAGTATTGGTTCCAGTAACCATTTTCCTCTGTCTTCTTGGGCTGTTGACACTGAAGGATGACATAGATCAATTGGAGAGGGGCCAAACCCTGCCATCACCAGAACAAGGCCTGTCGGCCGTGCAAGCATTCCGTGATGTTACCTGAGGCTGCTTGGCTGATAGAAGGGGAAAGGTACCATAAGATAGGCAGCAGTATTTTCTTTGTTTTTTTTCCTTTTTGTCTTTTTTCGTGTCCGGCAACGGATCGCAACCCTCAGTGTTGAGCCCGTACCGGACCGGGACCGGCAACGGGATTGCAACCCTCGGTGTTGCACCCGCACCTCGCTCAGCCAGTGAGCGGGAACCGGTCTGTATGTGGGATCCGAACCCTCGGCGGGAGCGCCGCCGCGCTCCTAAGCGGTGCACTGTAGCAGTGCGCCACCGGGCCGGCCCCGGCAGCAGTATTTTCAACAGAAAACAATGATGTAAAGAAATCTATGTAATAACACAAGTTTTCCATTTTTTGGCAGTGCCAGTCCTGTATCTAGCTTTTACCAAAATCACTGGAAAATTATTAAGACTCCAAGTTTCAATGTTGTCTCAAAAGTGGAATTGGCACCAACAAATGAATATTTGTTAAGTACAGAACCGTATATAACTACGCAAGTTGATTTACAAAAAAAGTGAAAGAGATACCCTCTGTTTTCTAGAAGTTTACAATAGAAGCCAGTTGACAGAGATGAAGACTGACATGA